TACAGACACATCTAAGCGTTTTGCATTTTGCATAATTTTAAAAAGTTTACATTTGTTCAGAAGCCTATTGAACAGCAGAAATGAGGATTTATTTTCGGAAGTAAGTAAAAGGGAAAAAAACAGCGGCCGACAGCCTGTAAACAACGGTAGACTTGTGCGTAACAAGCAAGCGAATAATGCAGAAAACAGATTTTTAGACGGGAAACTGTTCTTGAAGTACAGAGAGAAAGTGAGAGAGAGAGAGCTGTGCATGAAGTGTGGTGGAAGCAAAACAGCAAAAGTCAGAGGGAATTCATGACGTTTTTTTTTTTTTTATTGAAGCGTAACTCTTTTGCTGCTGGTTCGGTCAATAATGTTTGGAGAGAGATAAAACTAACAGCTTTAGAATCAGCGCAAAAAGGGCGTAAATACAAAGCACGGACCCGCTGAAACATCGGTATCAGTGAGCTGTCGGCTTTCAGCCCCGACCGTGTCCGTGCCGTCGGGTGAGAAGGCGACATCTCACTGATTCTGGTCCGTCGGCGGGTCCGAGCTTTGTGTTTACATCTTTGTGCAGAATCTGTGTGCCTGCTCTCATTTACTGTTTTAGCTGTTTGGTGGTTCTTGAAATTTTGTGGGGTTTAACCTGAGATTCTGGCATTTCGGGCAAAATAAATTAATATTAAAAAAATCGATTCAAGATTTTAATGAATCGATATCACGTTATCCAAGCCAGAATCGATTTTAATCGATAAATCGATTATCAAAACCCACCCCTAGTGACCAGTACTTACAATAAGTGTGTTATGATCCCCAGATCATTCGAAAAGTGGACAAGCAAGCAGCTTTAATGGATGCTGATGACCCGGTGTCCCAGCTTCACAAGTGTGCCTTTTACCTGAAAGATACAGACAGGATGTATCTCTGTCTATCACAGGAGAGGATCATCCAGTTCCAGGTGTGCAAAGTCTGACACACACAGACATGTATATATTCAATTATTTCAACTTTGTTTTTGTGAAATCAAGTTATATTAGATTTTTTTGTGATGAGCAGGTATCAAAACAGTAATAAATTGCTGCTGTTGCTAAGGAGAGGAAATCTGCCAGTAGTGCCGTTTGGAGTATTTTCTTGTTGAAGGGTGACTATGGACTGACTCAAAATCCAGACTGATCCAGAATTAAACAGGTTTGAAGTATGTCTAAAGCAGAAGTAAACATATTTTTTTGAGTTTGTATCACTAAAGAAAAATGCAATAACCACATGAATTATTCAGCTGGTAAATGCAGCTAGTAAATCTGAATTATTAAAAAAAAGAGAGAAGTGCACAAAATTAGGTCTTGATATTAAAATTAGGATTGGAAATCAAGAAGAAATAATCAGCATTCTGTGCTCTGAAATGTTTAAGGCATATCTGTAGTGCTGACTTGCAAGCTCTCGTGTCAGCTCCACTGGAGTGTGGTGTGCTACTTACATTAACATAAAATCTCAATTTATACATAATCATTTTATTGGTGTTCTTAAGGAATAGTTACTATGGGCTGAATTGCCAACTGCAGTCTGTATTCTGTGACTAGTAGTGCTGATGTCAATGGGTCAGGATGATTCATTCCTCAGAGAAAGTTAGTCATGTGTCCTAGCCTATTTCAATAAATATAGTTTTCTGGTGTAAAATGATAACTGCAAAGGTTGATGTTGGTGTTGGTCATCAGGTCTTTGTCAGTGTGGATCTCCTTAAAATAAACCCCTTCTTTAGTTCTTCATTCTTAGGAAGTTTAAAAAAGTAGGCTGAACTATTTTGCAATTTCTGCAATCCAAGGAAGAGCAGCTGCAGTAAAGGTTTTGAAAGCTGAAGGTGTAGCAACTTCAGATACAGGAAGACTACTGATACTTATCCCCTGTAGCATTTATAAGTCTTAGGTTTGGGGCAGGATTCATGCTAAGGCTTGGTGAGTATGTTGCTGCGATTCTGACTCTAAAAATTGATTAAATAATAGAAACTAGCGACTTGTTTTTGTTGTTATTATTATTTTTTTATTATTTCTAACAGTATAATGACTTAAGAAAAGATATGTGGTTTTGCTTTTCACAGAATTTTTGGAGCATTTCACTACCTGTAAATATTTGGGTTGTGAAATGCAGCCAATAGAATAGTCAGTAAAATGTTTTATGAGCTGAGTAACATCTTTTTAGGACTTAAGAGAAAGTCCTAACTGTTTTACCAACTCCTCTCCAAGCCCTTTGGTTTTTTTGGTAATGTCGCTACATAAAGAAGAGTTGTATCATACTGTATGAAGGCATCAGGAAAAGCACAACCTATGACCGCATTTTAGAATGTAATGTTGAACTTACATTACCTTTTTGACCAGGACCGTGAATACCAAATGTTGTCAAACATTTTGACAAATGTTTTAATGACTGTGTGAATAATATTTAACTGCCACGTTTTCCTTCATATATTTTGTATACAGCAGGTAAAATGAGAACTGAACACGTCATCAGTTTTCAAAGTAAATGTATTTCTAAAAGTGCTGTTGACATGATATTTTCACCAGATGTTGGTAACAACTCATCCAGTCTGACACATGTGGACAAATCAAACCATAGATGACCTGCTGTGTGTTATACGTGGCTGTTCCTACTTTTTTTATTTTTTTTATGTATCTATATACTACTGCAAATAATCAGTATATAGTTCAGTTAAAAATATAGGTAATTATTACTGAAGGTTTTTTTTCTTTACAGATAAGAGTTTGACATTTTTATTTTCTTATCCAGAGAAATTGTAATTTAAAAATAAAAACTATGTATGATTTTATTTGGCATGGGGCTACCTAAGAGTTTGTTATTAGAAACATTTTGGTTTTAGTTTTTTTTTTGTTTTTGTTTTTCTTGCAAAGACAGATTTGGTCGTATAAATATAAACAGTGTTGGTGTGTTTGAAACCAATAATTAGAAGAATCGGTTTGTCACAGATAAATATTAATAGAGCTGTTTTAGAGCAGTACTTACAGCAGCCATTTGTATGATTTGAGCACCAGTTTCTAGAGTTAAACATAACAGTCCGAGCCTCTATCAGCCACCATGATGGTGCCTGGTTGGACATAACTGTACGGAATTAAAATTAATTGTGTTTCTTTTGTTTTGTTTTGTTTTTCAGGCTACACCGTGCTCCAAAGAGACCAACAAGGAGATGATTAATGATGGTGCTTCATGGACTATCATTAGTACTGACAAAGCAGAGTACACCTTTTATGAGGGCATGGGCCCCGTGCCCACACCAGTAACACCTGTCCCTGTGGTTGAAAGCCTGCAGGTACACATACAGCCTTTTCCGGGGAAGATATGCTCTAGTTACCAGCAAACACGAGTGACACTCTTGATACCCAAGTATACGTCTCTTTTGTTTTTATTCAACTACTATGAATCTTCTAAGACTTGATTGATTTTATGTTTGTCTCTGTCCAGTTAAATGGTGGAGGAGATGTTGCTATGTTGGAGCTGACAGGACAGAACTTCACCCCTAACCTCAGAGTTTGGTTTGGAGATGTGGAGGCAGACACCATGTACAGGTAAATATGTCTGCGAGTGTTAACTTTGTTCCCGTGTGTTTTCATTTCATTTTTTTTAAGCCTTGTCCCATCCGCTTACTTCCTTAGATGTGGGGAGAGCATCCTTTGCGTGGTGCCAGACATCTCTGCCTTTAGGGAGGGTTGGCGCTGGGTGAGACAGCCAGTTCAGGTCCCTGTCACGCTGGTTCGCAGTGATGGAATCATCTATGCCACTGCCTTGACCTTCACGTATACCCCCGAACCAGGGCCAAGACCTCACTGCAGTGCTGCTGGAGCTATTCTGCGGTCACACAGCACCTCTTCATCATCACCCGCATCTTCATCCTCACCTTCATCTTTGATGGGTGTGCTCGGGGATGGCCACGGAGCCTACAGCAGTAGTGACTCTGGCATGTCGTCTGGGACTTCAGCTATGTCGGTGCTGTCATAGTAAAACGTGTTTTGTGATTGTGCTCTCAGTGACTGAGTGAGAAAATGTGAGCATGTTCTCCAAAGAGGCTCATGGACCTGTGAAGAATTGCACAGAAGCTAAGAAGTTCTTTGTTAGAGGAACTGTGAAACTATGAGGAGGAAAAAAAGACAACTTCAGAAGCAAGAGTTGTGATTTCTGACTGTACTGTATCACCCTCTTGTGGATTGATGTGGACATATCATAAGCTCCACTCAGAGTAACGTGATATCCATGCTCTTCATCTAAAAGAAGGTGAACTATCTAACTCCCATAGCAACATCATTTGTAAAATAACCTTTTGTTTTGTTTTTATATACTTGGCAGGTTTGGAAGCTACTTTAACTGCTTTCTTACTACCAGCATTATGTTTGCAGATGAACACAAACTTGTAATTGGATTGAGCAAGGGAAAATTTGTAAGAATAACATAGTTTTATGGACCAAGGAATATTATTATATTATTTTATTCATATTGTATTTTATAAGTTTTTTCCGAGGTACATTTTTGTATGATACACTGCATAGTAAGATCAGTTTGTTACCAAGATAGTTTTTCATATTGTTGCCTCCCATTCCTGTTTTCTCTCAGTTGAGTCAAGATGAAAATTGCTTTTCATGTGTGTAATAGTCAGACAACAGCTTCTCACCTTTTTTCTTTTTTTTTTTTAAAGCTTACTTGCTGTCGTTAACAGTTGAGTGTGTTGCAATGAAAAAGAGTCAGTCAGTCTTTGGAAGCACTTTAGAAAATGAAGATATCTCTATGTCCGCTTGCAGTTATTGGCTTGGCTGTTTTATGTTTTCCAGGCCACTGAACAGTTTTGGTTTCTCTTTTATATCAAAGATGAAATTTTTAATGAATTGTGTGTGTGTGTGTGTGTGTGTGTGTGTGTGTGTGTGTGTGTGTGTGTGTGTGTGTGATGTGTGGTTTGCGCTGTGGTGAGTGGTGGTGGTGTAGTGTGTGTGTGTGTGTGTGTGTGTGTGTGTGTGTGTGTGTGTGTGTGTGTGTGTGTGTGTGTGTGTGTGTGTGTGTGTGTGTGTGACAGAGAGAGAGAGAGAAGCCTGTAATACACTGTCAGAGTGTTCTCTCTTTAATGATTTTGCTCTTTTTGTACTCTCTGTACTGGGTCTCAAATCTAAACAAGCAGTTCCTCCTGTTACCGTAGCAATGCATACAGCAGCAGTCATTTTTTTCTCCCACATATAAGTGAAGCCTTTTATAAAAAGTGTCTTATCGCTTGCATATTTTCAGAGAAAGTCAAGAAGCAAAGGAGGAATGTCAAAAATGTCTTGCTTTCTTGAAGAGCTGATCTTTAGTTTGAGCTGAGATTTAAAGGGTTTTAAAGTGAGCTCATGTACTGGGGGAAAGAAATACTATCTCTTCCCAGTAAACCAATTTATCATTAGTGTCATACTGATGCTGACCTTTTGTTGAATTTAGTTTTTTCAAACAATGCCTGAACAAAAGTTCAGCAGAGCTAATAGTCATCTTTGGCTGCCCTTTGGGTCATTAAGTGATGAGGTTGATAGGTTTGTAGCTTGAACCTATTCGCTGGAACGTTGAAGACAATATAATTACACAGCAAGCAAGACACGAAGTAGGCAAAGTTCTTCTTGTTACTCATGCATGAGGGAGACCTGCCTGGAGCCAAGTGTCGTTCCACCACTTGACTTCCGTCAGACTCTCAGCCAGGTTCCCCATAGCACTTCTTTTATTGTGATTACATGAATATGCATAGGGCCATTAACATATAACATCTTACATAGGTATACATGTGAACAAAGAATACTGTGTGTGTGTGTGTGTGTGTGGTGTGTGTGTGTGGGGGGGGGGTTCAGAGTGTGACCCCATAAACGACTTCCCAGAGGTACAGGATAAAAGTTTGAACAATCATACCAAGGTGGTAACATCCTAGTCCTACAGGATCTGACTTGCTTAATTTTGTACAAGCTGACAAGATATTATTGCATTATGCTGTTATGCTGTATAAGTTGTAAATGCGTTTTCATGGCAATAATAACTAGTTTAGTACCAGTTATACCAAGAATAAGAGATAAGAAGAGTGAGACGATGAAGAGAAGGGTACGGGTAGGAGAAGAATTCCCAGTGTGAATTATTTGTTTCAAGCCCTGCATGAACAGTCTTGAGTCAAACCTTCCTGAGACTGTTCTATGTGGGCTTTCCTTGTTCTGTCTGTATATGCATGATTCTTTTTTTTACTTGGTGCTCTGTTTCAAAGACATGTTAGCTTAAATTGAATTATTACTTATTTCAAAATAGCTGTTGATGTGACAAAAGGTGCTTCTAGTAAAGGGTTAGACTGTAAAAACAAAGTGTAAATGTCCCTTCTGTGACCATCCTCTAAGCATACAACAACTGGACTCATCCGGTATGTAAAATAGGTGAATCATCTCTTAATTTCTTCCTTTCTTTCTTTTTGCTTTTCTTTTTTTAAACACTAATGATGAAATTAGAAGCTCCAACTTTAATTGCCCTAAAAAACTGATGTCTTTGATCCTTCTCTTGGTCTGCAGGAGCAGAGGTATTTAATATATTTGGAAATATACCTACCCGATGAAATATTTAATTGTGAATTACTGCATCACCAAGTCACAATATCCTGACTCAATTTTCCTCCAGTGTCCAAGTCTTGGTGAATTGATAATATCAGTATCTGTGCATAATCTTGATGAATATGTATGCACTCTTTTCCTGTTTCTGTCTATCATGTAACCAAACATGCTGTATACTCACTTCCTGCTGGGGCCTGCTTAGACACTATCCACTGAAGCATGCTACCCGGGATAGAGGTCAAATCTGTCTGACTTATTTTTAAACTGGGAGCCGTATTGCTGGAATGAAACCTGACACTTTGTTGCTGTTAATGTTTGTGTGTTTGGTGTGTATGCCTGTGTATCCGTGTGGTCTGCTTTGGTCCGTCTCTCTTTATGCTTCTAGCAATGCTTTTACATTAACAAGAGTGTGCATCTGAGCATGTAATAAATGGCATAGCTACATATAGACATCATTAATGAACAGCTGTGCAAACATTGGCAAAACCCTTTCAAATAGCTTGAAGAATTCCAATCACAGATACGACTCCTTCACCCAGACAGTCAGGCGATGATATCAGGACAGCCAATCATTAGCTGATCTCAGGAAATACTTCCAATAGTGAGATCTATGGGATTTAATTGATCCTCATCCAAACATTTAGGGTTACACTCGACAGTGTACAGTGTATTATAGTGGTTGTCCCTACCTTAACGAAAAGGAAACTAACTCTGACCCCCATTTGTATGGCTGGGAAATATGTTAGGAAAACTAATTAAGAGGCCCCCATGCTGCAAATGGAGTGAGGGGGTGGAGTTCTGAGGAGGAACATGACATCTCTGGGAAAGGGCTGCAGGGAGAGAGAGGCCAGGGAACCTTTTGTACGACTAGTTGGATTATAAAAATCAGAAAACAGATCAACCACCATTTAAACTGCTGTGCCTTTAAGTTGTAACTGGATTGTTTTTTTAAAAAAAAATTGTATCTCACCCAGGACCATTTATTCTGATGATTATATCACACTGAATATGGATTTATTATACCTGAATCAGATGTTTTGATGTTGTTTTTGTCTTTTTCCTGGAATATCATGCGCAAGTTTGAAAAACTTTGATTAATCCTTTTTGTGTTTGAATTACGCTTCGATTACAACTTTTTTATATATCATTTTTACCCACCTAAACTTTACGTTTCAATCTGCACACCAGTGCCACTGCCAGATCTCTCCAGTGAACATCAGCAGCCTATCACATCTCCCTTCTGGATGTACCCATAATAGCAACGCAGATCGCTTAACACTTTTTCGCAGACTGTCGCTGGTGCCTCCGAAACGGGGGTTTGGTTATGTATACGTTCTTTATTCGTTTATTTTGAGAACTTTCTCAGCTTTGGACGACAACATTGCCATCCGTGTGAAATGTTCCCTCCGTCCCCGCTACTGCTCGTTTTCCCCGCTGCGCTCTTCTGGGCCGCACAAGTTGCCGGGGACCTCGAGGGTGTTACCATCCCCGGTGAGAGCGCAAGTTTCGACCCGGCGCGTATGTACTGAATGATGCATGGCGCCAACAAAAGAGAAAACACGAAAGAAAGTAAAGCATGACTAAGTATTTAAACTGGATCTTAAATCTGCACTATCACTGTTGATGTTGCGTCGATTATAGCGGTGATAGTCGGCTGTTTGACACTTACACTTAAGGAAAGACTCATTTTTTAAAATTTAACCTGAAAATTTAACCTTGATCATTTATTTGTTTGTTTATTTTAAAAGAAAACCATCAGGTTATTAGAGCATCTGTTAGTAGAATTCCGTTTTGGGGTGTTTGTGCAACCTGCACGTGCTGCCAAAAATATATTTAGGAAACAGGAACTTTTTGTTTGTTGTTTTTGTTTATCTGTTAAAAACAAACAAACACGTGTCCATTAATCGGGCACAAACTTGTTGCTGGGGTTAATAATAGCGTTCTGACAATTTAATCTAAATATACACGTGCCACAATGTGCTCCACTCTCTCAGGATTCCAGCAGCTTCCGCTCACCTGTGGAAAGTTTTTATGTGGAGGTCCTACAGGGACATCGTTAAACCCACACAATCCCCTGCGCACAAACTCACAGTTGTGTTTCCCATCGCTACAGAGGACATTTACGTCGACCTACAGTTATTTCCTGGAATCCTTTTCTACTCGTTGCTGCCCCAACCTTAACCCTGGCAGTAATTAATTCATTTTAATTGTTGTCCCTAAATATAAGTGATTCCTAACAGCACCACACATCAATTCTCACACAAAGTGAGCAGTAAAGGCACAAACACTGTTTTAGGTCCCTTTGTTTACACCACCTTGTGAGGCAGAAGAAGCTCCATCGTCGAAGCAGCTTCTCCTTATTCTGGAATTCAAGTTTCATCAGCAAACGAGGGATAATATCTTTGCTTTTATAAAATATGTCGTTACTGTAGATTCTCCTGCCTGTGGTGATGATAAGAAGAACAAAAACATATAGCCTGTAACTGTCATAGATTTCTGTTATGACAGCAGCAAGTGAAACATCGGCTTACCAAATGTTCTGCTATAACATTTTAAATGAGTTTTCCCTCCTACTTATCATGAAAAGAGCACATCACTTGTGTTGAGTAGGAGATGCCTACATCATTCAAACAGTTAATAATCTGAAATTATTTTACTCCTACTTTCTGCTGTTCTTCCTTACTTGAGAAACCTTCTGAAAACACACCCTGTGTTTATGTATCTGTGTATGTTTTAAGATAATCTTGCACAGGAAGAAAACATATGGCTCGTGTGGTTGTAACTGTCTAAAAATGCAAAAATTCCCAGAGGATTTGCTTCATATTAAAAAACACAACAAGAACCTTCAGAGATAAATGCCGATATTTTTGTAAGAAGATTAAGGGCAGGATGCAGCGAAATGGGAATCCTCTGTTTGTTTGTTTTTTCCATAGAAGTCTCCCTCCCTCTTGCTTTCTCCCCCCTCTCTCTCTTTACTCATGGATTATTTCTTCATTACATTTTTGGCACAGAGTGGTTAGCATCACTGGAGGTGGCTCAAGGTGGGCTCAGCTAGCAGACCTTTGACTCTCAGCCTCTTGCCCCTTGAAACACTCAGACTCGAGAGTCACTGAGACGAAAATGGGCTGTGACTCAGCAGACTGACAGATGACGGAAAGCTATGCGTCATCTTCTAATGCATCAGTGTACTTGTACTCAAGCCAGGAACTCACTGTACGATTTAAACCAAATTACAACGGTCGATTTGATCATAATGACTCCACTGAGTCGTCATTATGATTCAATGAAATGTATTTCCTGCACATTTTCTCATAGTGTGTTGCTTCATGGAGTGAAGGCTTGATCCTAAAACCTTATTTGTTTGCTAAAATTTGTTAAAGCTGTTTTAAGCCCATTTAACTCTAACAAATTCATTCAGAAAACTGGAACTTTAGACTTTGGGTAGTTTCCTAATGTCATAAAAAAGTACTAAAAGTACCAAAAAAGAATTTGAGTACAGTATTTATGAGATTATTTATATTAGAAACACCACATAACAATTAAATTCAATGATTCTCGACACTGAATGCAGCCAGTGACAAAACCACCTCCGCAGTCTGTTTAACTAATAAGTAGATTTTAAAGGGAAACTGTTAACTCTCAGCTAATGTATTGTACTGACTGGGCACTTGGTTTAATTTCCATTTTGTCTTACATTTTATTCTAATTTATCTGGGTTGAAATGGTGTTGCTTTTACTTTGGTTTTATTTTAATAGGTTGATAGGATTGTATTTTAAGTATATTGTTAGGAAAAAAGGGATACATACACAAAACAAAGCAAACATTAAGAGTGAAAAGGATGCAAGTAATGTACCTCTCCAGAATCAGACAGAGGACACTGAAATTTATTGTACTTTACTTCGGGACTCTTAACCATTTTTAAACAGAACAGTGTAATTCCCAGCGGATGAACATGCAATTTAGAATTGCTATTACATGGGATTTTTTTTTTTTGAGATATACAGGGAGTGCAGAATTATTAGGCAAGTTGTATTTTTGAGGAATAATTTTATTATTGAACAACAACCATGTTCTCAATGAACCCAAAAAACTCATTAATATCAAAGCTGAATGTTTTTGGAAGTAGTTTTTAGTTTGTTTTTAGTTTTAGCTATTTTAGGGGGATATCTGTGTGTGCAGGTGACTATTACTGTGCATAATTATTAGGCAACTTAACAAAAAACAAATATATACCCATTTCAATTATTTATTTTTACCAGTGAAACCAATATAACATCTCCACATTCACAAATATACATTTCTGACATTCAAAAACAAAACAAAAACAAATCAGCGACCAATATAGCCACCTTTCTTTGCAAGGACACTCAAAAGCCTGCCATCCATGGATTCTGTCAGTGTTTTGATCTGTTCACCATCAACATTGCGTGCAGCAGCAACCACAGCCTCCCAGACACTGTTCAGAGAGGTGTACTGTTTTCCCTCCTTGTAAATCTCACATTTGATGATGGACCACAGGTTCTCAATGGGGTTCAGATCAGGTGAACAAGGAGGCCATGTCATTAGTTTTTCTTCTTTTATACCCTTTCTTGCCAGCCACGCTGTGGAGTACTTGGACGCGTGTGATGGAGCATTGTCCTGCATGAAAATCATGTTTTTCTTGAAGGATGCAGACTTCTTCCTGTACCACTGCTTGAAGAAGGTGTCTTCCAGAAACTGGCAGTAGGACTGGGAGTTGAGCTTGACTCCATCCTCAACCCGAAAAGGCCCCACAAGCTCATCTTTGATGATACCAGCCCAAACCAGTACTCCACCTCCACCTTGCTGGCGTCTGAGTCGGACTGGAGCTCTCTGCCCTTTACCAATCCAGCCACGGGCCCATCCATCTGGCCCATCAAGACTCACTCTCATTTCATCAGTCCATAAAACCTTAGAAAAACCAGTCTTGAGATATTTCTTGGCCCAGTCTTGACGTTTCAGCTTGTGTGTCTTGTTCAGTGGTGGTCGTCTTTCAGCCTTTCTTACCTTGGCCATGTCTCTGAGTATTGCACACCTTGTGCTTTTGGGCACTCCAGTGATGTTGCAGCTCTGAAATATGGCCAAACTGGTGGCAAGTGGCATCTTGGCAGCTGCACGCTTGACTTTTCTCAGTTCATGGGCAGTTATTTTGCGCCTTGGTTTTTCCACACGCTTCTTGCGACCCTGTTGACTATTTTGAATGAAACGCTTGATTGTTCGATGATCACGCTTCAGAAGCTTTGCAATTTTGAGACTGCTGCATCCCTCTGCAAGATATCTCACTATTTTTGACTTTTCTGAGCCTGTCAAGTCCTTCTTTTGACCCATTTTGCCAAAGGAAAGGAACGTTGCCTAATAATTATGCACACCTGATATAGGGTGTTGATGTCATTAGACCACACCCCTTCTCATTACAGAGATGCACATCACCTAATATGCTTAATTGGTAGTAGGCTTTCGAGCCTATACAGCTTGGAGTAAGACAACATGCATGAAGAGGATGATGTGGACGAAATACTCATTTGCCTAATAATTCTGCACTCCCTTTAGTGATAACTACCAAATGCACAAAGGAGACAGTAAGATATCCCAGGCTCTCCATGTTGATCTTGTGGACATTATAGATGATGCTATGTGAGCCAAAATAATGAAAAGCTCTTATAGATCAGCTTAAATAACGATGTAAAGTTGGCAAATTAAAGTTCTTTTGGAATAAACTGAGCAAAATAATGAGATGTATTATTATTGCCTTTCCCACCCATGCAGACCCCTGCGCCGTAGTGTCTCCACCATGCATGAGCGAGGCTGATCGCTTCAGCTTGGAGGCCCTTCGGAGCATCCATCAGATGATGGATGATGACCAAGATGGGGGGATTGAGGTGGAAGAGAGTGTGGAGGTAGACACCTTGCTCTTCATGAAATATGTAACCCATTTTCTTATTTTATTTATTTATTGAATTATTTTACTTAATCCCTGTGCTTGTATGTTTTTGCATGATTGATGCACATAGTGTTTAGCAGTGCAACAACAGGTGTCATCACTGCTGCTAGAGTCAAATGCTCCTTCAAGGATAGCAGTATAACTTTGCCTTTGGCTCAGTGACAAAAATTGGTTTGCACAAATAGAAAACCGTTACACTGGTGACCTTTGTAGTCATTCGTAACAGTAAGCAGTGTGTCATGACAATTTTTTTCCCCCCTGAGATTTCTTTGAATGGTAAACTACCTCAACGTTAATATGCTGCTATACTGTTTGTATGTGCGTCAGGTAATCAACCTAGACTTCTCTAATGCCTTTGCCTTCCAGAATGCAGCTCAGGGATACAGTATCCAGGGGCTCAGGTTGCAGTTACCATAGAGATGTCAGAGGAGGGGGTCTGGGCTCATCAAAGTCCCAAAATTCCTCTAGCCATCATATGAAGCCTTCGTCTAGAGCCAAGCACACATTCCAAGACAGCACCAACACACACACGCAATCCCTGAAGTTTGCAACACACACTTATGGTTCTGCAACCATTCTAAATAAATGCAAACTAAAAACAACCGCTCCTTATTCCTAGATTGAAATCTAAGCACATGACTCACACCAGCACTCACTCTATTTATCCTGGACATAAAGTTCAAACAATATGATGTCCTTGTGACACTTATCTTCGCATTTTAGTGTTGTACCTCATAATAAAATTTTAAAAAGTGCTATTTTCACTCTGTTGTACTGTTTTTCTCCAATGTCGCAGTTCATTATTGAAGACATGAAGCAGCAACAGACTAACAAACACAGCAACCTGCACAGAGAAGACCAGCACATCACAGTTGAGGAGCTCTGGAGAAGCTGGAAGTCATCCGAAGGTATCCGGGTGTAACAGAGTGTGTGTGTGTGTTTGTGTCCAGTATCATGTTTTATCTGAAACTTGATCTTGTTTTGTTTTAGTACATAATTGGACTCAGGATGACGTGCTCCGCTGGCTGAAGGATTTTGTTGAATTGCCACAGTATGAGAGAAATTTTAAAGAGTTTAAGGTCAATGGAAACACACTCCCCAGGTGAGAATAACTGAAGAGGGTGTACAGGCAATTCGCCACATAAACAAGTTGGTCTTCTAGAAACTATATTCTCAGATTAAGTTTTGAGGGAACCACATTCTCTCCCGTTTGTTTGATTCACAGTGATATCTGTAGTCAACATGTGTCGCCATTGTTCTTCTTTTGTTGCTACTGTTAACTCTCTTCTGGCAACAATACATATGTTATACAAGGCAGGGCTCGTCACCCTGGAAACCCTAAAAACACACATGTATGCATATTTTGGTAATCCCAAATAAGCCATTAAAATAAAAACCATAAAATCCATTTGTAGGATTGCAGCTAATGAGCCTTCATTCCTGAGTGGCCAGCTAAGAGTTCAGGACCAGAGAGACAAACAGAAGCTCACCATCAAAGCTCTGGATGTTGTTCTGTTCGGACCACCTACACGTAAGAAGAAATCCTCACTTTATTCCCTCAGACAGTAGCTTTGATGTCTTTGAAGCAGGAAAGATACATTCATGTCCTGTTGCCATTCTTTTCATTGCATAACTACTTTTGTATTACTCTTCCTCTTAACCTTTAATCTAAAATCAGCATTAAATGATGGATTAGGCAGCAAAGTTGCTAAATCGGTTTACATTTAAGGCCTTTCGTTTCAACTTACTTAATGTTCATATCGTTATTTCAAAACACAGCTGCACGTCTCTTAGCTGGTACTAGAAATTATGCCCACATCACATCAGTTTTAGCCAACTTACATTGGCTCCCTGTTGAATATCGCATCAATTTCCAAATTCTCTTGCTTACCTTTTAATTTACCTTAAATTTTAAACAATTTGGCTTCCAGCTATCTATGCGAACTCCTCCATTTGTCTATCCCTAATAAGGCACTTAGATCTTCCAATCAAATGGTCCTGACGCAACCGAGGTCTCGTCTGAAGTCCAGAGGTGATCAGGCCTTTGCTGTCATAGCTCCCAGACTCTGGAATAACCTCCCTCCTTGTATTCGTTCCTCAGAGTCCAGTCTTTTAAATTGCGTCTTATTATTATCACTTATTATTTTAGTCTAGCTTTTGATTCATATTAGTATGCTATTTTGTGGCTAGTTATGTTTTTTTTTTTACCCATATTGTTCATATTGTATCCTGCCCTCCTTTTAACTGTTTCTTTTATTCTGTCTTATGCTATTGCTCTGACTGAGTGTGAAGCACTTTGCTCAACTTTGTTGTATTATTATGTGCCATAGAAATACATTTTGATGTGATTATTATTTAAAGTGATCTGATGTCCATTCAATCATAGGGCCCCCTCATAACTACATGAAAGACCTGCTGCTCATTGTGTCAGTTGTGATGGGAGTCGGCGGCTGCTGGTTTGCCCAGGCTCAGAACAAAGCCAGCAAAGTCCACATATCTAAAATGATGAAAGATTTAGAAAGTCTCCAGAGGGCTGAACAGAGCCTCATAGAACTACAAGAACAGTAAGAACTGTGATTTTTTTTTTCTTCTCTCTGTCAGTCTCTTAGCTACTGTAAGTTACCGGATTGCCTTTGCTTTGTGTGATTGAACTAAACACGCTTTGATTTACTCAGACTGGAGCGAGCCCAGGAAGAAAAGCGTAATGTGGCAGAAGAAAAACAGAGCCTAGAGGAGAAGATGAGAGATGAGATCATGGGGGCACAGGAAGAGGCTCATCGTCTGCATGAGCTGAGGCAGGGAGCTGTTAGTGAGCTGAGCCGCCTCAGATATGCAGAGGAGGAGCTGGAACAGGTAGAAATGCTGCAGCAAGAGCAAGCAGCTTCACAAATGCAAGACACTCATCATCCTAGTTTGGCAGGCCTGAAGATTTTACCCTAAATTATTTTCTGCATACTGATGATTTTTAACATTTGCCACCTCTTCAGGTCCGTGGAGCGCTGAAGCAGGCCGAGAAGGACATGCAAGCCAGCTGGACTGTCACAGAGGTGCTTCAGCAGTGGCTGCAGCTGACACATGAGGTAGAGGTGCAGTACTACAATGTTAAAAAGCAGAGTGCAGAACTACAGCTTGCCACTGCCAAGGAGGAGGTAATGCATAGCAACATAAGAGTAATAATGCTTATAGTGACTATCCTTCATATGTAAGTGCCCAGACTCATATGTATGCTTTTTTCTAGGCAGAGAAGATTAAGAAGAAGAGAAGCTCTGTGCTGGGGACACTCCACGTGGCCCACAGCTCCTCTCTAGACCAAGTAGACCACAAGATTTTGGAGGCCAAGTGAGTCACAAAGTTACCTCTGTGCAGGTATTTGTGTCTGTCAATATAAAGATTCAACAAATTACATCACAAAGCTTTTTGGATCTCTTAAAGGAATGCCTTGTCTGAAGTAACAGCCTGCCTGCGGGAGCGTCTTCATCGTTGGCAACATATTGAGCTCCTCTGTGGGTTTCCCATCATCAGGAATCCGGGTTTAGCAAAACTCACTGCTCAGCTCTACTCCGACTCAATTGCCCTGGGGTTGCCTAGAGTGTGCCAGTCATCTTGTTCCTGCCACAGCTCCATTCATGGCTCCATAGAGGATCTTTTAGATGAGCCTACCTCTCCTATTTTACCTCAGATACCAGGTAAGAAACAGGAATTAGGAGCTTTTAAGGCTTTAGTTGAGTCCTTGTTATTGTCAGTGTCACACAGAGTTAGATTTGATTGGAATCTGGAACGTGATATGTGATTTGCACACTTCCAATCAATGCATTCAGAAGTATGCAAACAGGCGTTGAATTTAATATTTCGCATTAAGTTATTTGGTTTGTATTGCCTGCAAATATGAGTTTAATAACAACCTGATATATGACAAAACTATCCTCTGTCTCAAAAAATATTCCAATATTAAATGGATCCCAGTTACAGCACATTTAAAACTTTTTAGAATGAAAGATAAATAACTCTAGTAACTGAATTTGTGATCAGAATCAAAGTACAATAGTGTATGCAGTGTTCAACCTCAAAACTCTGAAATATTTCCAAAGTGAAGGATTTGTTAAGTAGCTGATAAGTTTGTGTTTTGCTAAGAATACACAAACTCATTGACTGAAAAAGAAAAACAAGCACTCATAACAGAGCTCAGATTCCTTCCTTAATAACGCTTCACAAATAACAGAAATACTAAAGAGGTAAAAGAAATTGTTAACTATATTGTTAATGGGTGTTATTAGTATACGTACACATATATGTATATACCATCCTTGTTCCTACATCACCAAACTTCTCTAACCGTACGTTTCCTGCAGCTTCACAGACAAAGTTTAATTAGTAGTGTTCTGGAATGAAAATTAGGGTACATATTAATTTCTGCTCTTACAGGATCTGCTCTGCATAGATTCTTCATTTTTAATAATTGTTTCTCACCAGTTGCAGTTGCACCACTTAAACGGTCTCCTCGAGCACGGGTATCCATACGTCGGTCACGTCGCTCAGGGATCATTCCTCAACCATCAGCCACCATGATCTCCCCAGACCCTGACCTTCTTATCCCCATCCGAACTCCCTACTCTTCCTATGACGAGGAAGAGGAACATTTCCGAAAAACACTAAAAAAACAGTATGTCTGCCTTTTCCCAACTTTTAAAAATGCACTTGCTGTGCATTTTTAAACCACTTTCTTATCCTACCTTTATACCAGCCTTAGCTGTCCTTTGATTTTTTTTTCCTCTCCTGTTTTCTTTGCTTATGCTTCCTTTCCTTTCTCTCACTAATAGAGATTCCCAAGAAAGGTTCTCAGATTCAGAGTATATGACTTCTCCTCTCAGCAAACTGTTCCCTAGTTCTGCTGTTGACATCTCCTCTCGAAAGCTCTATCACGATGACACTGAGCTGCTTGCTGAGAGCCCTGTTACAAAAACTTTAACTAAAGAAGTAGAGGCTCTTGTTGAATCGCCACCTCACAAAATGTCAGTGGAAGACCTTGAAACTTCTGTTGATATTGCCTGTAGCAAGATGGTTAGAGACAAAGCCTTGGATACTTCGTTGGAAACATCTTCTTTAAAAATGTCTGCAGAAGAGTCATGTATAGATTCAACATCAAGGAAGATGTCACGCAACAGGACTGGACTTTCCACTGATGTTGCGCATAAAAAGGGAATTTCAAATGAGACAGATGCAGAGTTTTCACCCAGGAAAGTAGAGAAGGACACAGTGGGGGATTTGACAGAAGTTCCCTCAAAGAATACATTCAGAGAAAGAAGTGATTTGGGAATAGATGTGAGGAAGATGATATGGGATGAAGTAGAAGCATCAGCGGATCTAGCAAAAAGGAAGATATCAAAAGATATGATGGGCTCTTCAACTGACACTTCCTCAGGAAAGATGACAAGGGATGATCCTGAGCATCTATTTGACTCCAGAAGGATTACTAGAGATTCAATGGGAGTTTCCCAAGACACAGGTTCCAGGAAACATGCGTTCCATAAAGGGGAAAATCAATTTGATTCCTCTGTGAGGGGATCAGCAAAAGACAAAATAGTTGAGACAACCAGAATACCAACAAGAAAAATATCTAGAGATGAGCTGGAGTATTATACAGATGTTGCTTCAATGAAGATACTGCCCAGAGAGAGACTCGAAGCACTTGTGGACACCTCATCCTCTACAGAGATGCAAGAGTTTTGTTTAGAGCCATCAATAAGTAAAGGTTTACTGAGAAATGAACTTGAAATGTCTGCTGGTTCTCTCAGAAGGAGAATGCCAAGAATGCCGAGAGAGGATGCTGAAAGCACCATAGACACTCCTACTGGAAAAATCTCTTGGGATAGAGTTGATATCCCAAGGGAAATGCCTAAACAATTCATCTTGAGGGAAGAGTTATCAGAATCAAGTTCATTGGCAGCTCACAATGTGCAGCCTGATCTCATGTTAACTTCCCAGGTGCCATGGAAGTCTTCATCAGACTTTTTTACTGTTGGGCCACTGAGCCAGCTTGTTTATGATGGAATCCTTGAAAAATCATGCAGCTCCGTGTCTTCAGCAACAAACCTCTCTGCTGGCAGGCTGCGAGCAGAGATGGAGCCACCTCTGCCAAAACCAAGGGTTGTCCTCCCTGCTCCCTCATTGCCTTTGGAGGCCGCAGATGACAGGAACAAGGAAAAGGAAAAGAGCAAGAAACCTTTAAAGCTCAAAAATCTCTTTAAAAAGAAAAATGAGTCGAGTCCAGAGAAGCTTTAAGGTGCTCTTCGGAAACTCTGGCAATCAGCTGATTTTTTTTCTTTCTTTCTTTTGAACAATTTATAGAAACTGAGTTTCGAATTGTCTTTGATGACATTCAGTAGTCAAGGTTTTACAAACCTTTTAGCTCAAGGGGTTCAACTATAGTGTTGCATTAGTTGTTAAGGAACTGGAGTCATTATATTATTATACACGCTATCCCAATTTTAGGGGTAATCAAAAATAGTTAAGGTTAAAGTTAAGATTAAGTTAAGGGCTGTTTTTAATCCTTGGATGAAAGTCCTTTTTAGTTAATGAAATGTAAAACACATGGATTTCACCAAATTTTACATTTAATCTTTTGAGATGCCCTGCCAAGCATTTATTGCAACCACCTTAGGTTTCTTTATATGTTTTCTGAAGCTGTATATCGGACACGTATCCAGTTAATTTTGACCATCTTGTTTATAGAATAGCGGTTATATCTTAAAAGAAGATTCAAAGCCAACCCCATCTTCTTTTATCTAAACTCCTACAGAGTCAAAATGACAAAAAGCAAACTAACTAGTAATTGGTTTTACTTTCTATACTAAGTCTTATAGACACATGGTTGATATAGTAGTTTAGATTTTTTTTTATAGTTATGTGTGGTTGAAGGATTAAAAGTTTTAACAGATGCTTCTTTCCAGTATGACAGTGGCAATTCTTAAATTCATTTTAAAGCTTAGAAACTCAATCAAAACTGTTTAATACAGTGCTAAAGTTAACACATTCTTGTGCAAAAGAAACTGAGTTAAATTTTGTGATGTCCGAATTAAATTTACCTTCCTAAACTTATCCAAATTGACTAGTTAGAAACTTTTGGGAAATTTTCAGTACAGCTGCATAATGTACATATATATCAACATTAAAGGACAATTTAAAGGAACTGGAATTGAATTTTGTGTAGGGTTTAGGGGGTTAGGGTTAAACTCCATGCTTTTAAATGAACATTAAAATAGAGACAGTTTTTATTTACCTATTTAATTTTTTTTTAAAATTTTAATTACCACAGCAATTGTTAGAGTCCTTAAACACGTTTGACAGCTGAATAGCTCTAAAATATGCAGCACAATAAAGAATCATTTATTATACAACAAATATTTGTAATAGTTTCATACTATATTTTTTCATAGATGGTTCAGTATTATTTTCTTTAGCCCCTTTCCAATTAAATGGCATTTACAGTCGCCATCAGCACTTTTGATGTGTGGTTAAACAACGGCCTTCAGATAGATTTAAACAAAGTAGACAAAATGATTCCCTGATGCACTGTCGCAAATGAAACTGCTGACTGTTTGCACTGCTAATATGGAGGATTTTTGACTACTTCTGTGTTAGGCAGAAAAAATTAAGTAAATAAGTGAGTAGCAAGATTTCAAATGGATCAGGATTCACAAAGTAGATAATCATAGTTTTTATTCTTTAAGAATTCTCCCTATGTTTTATGTTTGTTAGTTTTGCTTTGATAACTTACAAGCACAGGTATTAGTTTATTTTTTGTAAAACAACAAATGTAAAAAAAAAAATTATTATAGCTGTCTTAGTTTCTGAAATTAATGTATTAAGAATCACATATTTAATTTCTAAATTGTTTATGTTATTGAATGATTAAAGCTCATTAATTGTTTTCAGGCATTAAATCATTTTCTTGTTTTAACTTAGTTTTTTTATTTAAGCGCTTCAAATATGAAGATTTTTCTTCAATAATTAAGCATTTTTTATACCAGTTGTAATCAGAGGTGCAGTGCTGCTGAGTGCAAAGGAACAACACTGCACCACTATTTTTCCAAATGAGGAAATAAAATATTCACAGTTGGATTAATTGGTTGAAATTCGGTCTAATTCTTGCAAGAAAGCCATTAATAGCAAAATGAGTGGTCACAGCTGTCATCATAATATTTAGAGCCAGATTTGGCAATGGTGTGCAACAGTACAAAACCCTCTTTTCGCATCAGAAAGCTACCTGATGATGCATTCACAAAAATGCAAACAGTACACTAATTAACATATGCCACGAGCAGTCCAAAGTACTGGCTCAAAGTGAGCAGACCTGATGAAAGGGGTCAGTGATGTCATAAGAAAAATAATAATCTATAAGTTGAGGTTTTACACATGTGTTTCTCTCTGAAAACTGTGGAAATGAAAATAAATAACAGGAGGCTGAATGAGAAACAATATGTTTATGATATAAGAGATAACTCTTCTGAAATTTCCAGGGACTGTGTTAGGTCCTGATGACTAAGATTCAGGTAGAATGTATCAAGAGGGGTGCATTATTATTATCATGTGAGCAACAGCTGACCTGTTCATGTATAGAAGAACAACAAAAATGTATTTACCACCAGAACCCAAGGGACAAATAACTCAGATTGATGCTACAACAAAGAGAACTGCACTTTTGCTTGTAAGTTGTTTCAGTGTCAAGTACCATGAGTGTAAAATGTTTTCCCCTGTGTTAGAAAAGAAAAACTGATTAACTGTGTCATGAATAAATGGGCTGTTATTTACTGATTTATATGAAATTAATGATAACTCAGGTTACAAAATTGGTAAAATTTAAAAATGCTGTCCATTGTGTTAAAATAAAATCCTGAAAATAACTACAGCATCTTAAATGTGTCATTTGTGAAAAAAAAAAGACTTCCAAATTGCAGAATATTGGTTATCCCCACTTGCATAATAAGCAGACCTGCCTGTGAACTGCACTTCCTTGATGTCAAGAAGAAAATCACAGATATGAACTTTTTGGAAGCAGACAATGACCTCCAAATTTTTATTTTTAGTGTTTAGTTTTTTGAAAACGAAGTGTTTCGGAATAGCCAACAAGACTTCTGTCTCCTGACTATTTTATTTAATTAAAATTCAACAGAATAATGTAAAGATCCTCAAGTTCTGTTTTGTGGTATCAAAATATATCATGGTCAGGACACATCATGATTATAAAATGTTTACCTGAAACCTCTTAAAACCATTATTAAAAAGCTGTAATCTCTGGTTCCATGGAGAGCACTACATAAAAACAGTCAATTCTGTAACTGAAGTAACTGCAATGGCTCAAAAGCACTACACTAAAATCACAGTCAGTGTAAAGATTGTCACTGCAGCAGCCATACTCCTCTTGCATTTGAGAGGAACCTACATACACAGTTACACGGAAACTCATTAATGATTTCCCTACAGTGCATTACAGATTCATTAAAATGAAGAATATATATCACGCAGTCATGATGCAAACTTCCAGCAATCATTTGAGGACAAGAAAACAATATAATTTAGCTTTGACTGTTGAGAGAAGTGTTTGTTAAGAAGTTTTTAGTTCATTACCTGTCATCTCCAATAGATGTCAGGATTGTCTAGGTCAGCATGTGATGCTTCTGCATGATGTTGAGGGATCAGAAACCCTCCCTCTCCCACTCCCCTCTTCCTTTTACTCAGTAAAACCTTCCAAACTTACTGCTCTGAATATTGTCTAATTCTAGCTTGTTTCATTAGATTAAGATTAATTTGACATGCTGCATTGTTCTTTCTGTCCACAAACTCTTACTCAAAGAGTAAACAGGTCAGATACTAAACAAAAACAAAAACAAAGTCATAAAAAACAGCAACTAAAAGAAGATACAAATGAAATATTAATAGTAGCAGACTGTATGGCATTTAGTTTTTACCTTTGTTAGGTGTAAGAGAGTGCATCTGTTAATATTTAATGACTGTTTTATTTTTTGGCATAGATGAGATCAGTGTCAAAGGAGAATATAGACCACACATGCATTATTTAGTTAGTAATTGACTATCATATATTGCATTAAAATAGCACAGACTTTCCTGAAGCTATTGTGCTAATTTTCCATGACTTTTAGTGGTAGTGTTATGTTCTGCAGGGTCAGGACCTACCTGCTCGCTCACCATAAAATATACACACTACCCACAGAAAAAGCTTAAGCTTTCCAGGTGGTGCAAAGCAGGAACCTTGTGCTGTGATATGATTATCATATTTCCTGTCCACCTGTAAAACTTTGTTGTTGTTTTTTAAAATACTGTTTTCAGAAATCTTTGTAAAGTATATTGCTTATTCAATATGCAAACATTTATATATACACCACGTTCCAAATGATTATACAAATTGTGTTGAAGTGTCATAAAGATTAAATAAGTTGTTTTTCAATTAAGCCCATGGATGGAATAGTGTCTCAGGACTCTTTGCATCACTGAAATCAATCTCGGACACCTATGATCATTAGTTTGCCAGGTGAGCCCAATTAAAGGAAAAACTACTAAAGAAGGATGTTCCACATTATTAAGCAGACCACCATTTTCAAGCAATATAGGAAAGAAACATGATCTCTCTGCTGCTGAAAAGCGCGAAATAGTTGAATGCCTTGGACACGTAATGAAAAGCTTAGATATTTCACGAAAATTTAAGCGTGATCACCATAATGTTAAGAGATTTGTGGCTGAGTCAGAGCACAGATGGGCTTGTGCAGATAAACGCACAATGATGAAGGTTTCTGCCAGACAAATACATCAGATTAAGAGAGCAGCTGCTAAAAGGCCATTACAAAGTAGCAAACACATATTTGAAGCTGCTGGTGCCTCTGGAGCCCTGCGAACATCAAGGTGTAGGATCCTCCAGAGACTTGCAGTTGTGCATAAACCTTCTATTCGGCCACCCCTAACCAATGCTCACAAGCAGAAATGGCTGCAGTGGGCCCAGAACTCCATGAAGACTAATTTTCAAACAGTCTTGTTCACTGATGAGTGCAGTGCAAGCCTGGATGGTCCAGATGGATGCAATGGTGGATGGTTGGTGGATGGCCACCATGTCCCAACAAGGCTGCAATGTCAGCAAGGAGGTGGTGGAGTCATGTTTTGAACTGGAATCACAGGGAGAGAGCTGGTCGGCCCCTTTAGGGTCCCTGAAGGTGTGAAAATGACCTCTGCAAAGTATGTGGAGTTTCTGACTGACCACTTTCTTCCATGGTAGAAAGAGAAGAACTGTGCCTTCTGCAACAAAACCATCTTCGTGCAAGTCAATGCACCATCTCATGCTACAAGGAATACCTCTGCATCATTGGCTGGTAAAAGGAGAGGAACTTATGGTGTGGTCCCCATTCTTCCCTGACTTCAATCTTATTGGGAACCTTTGGAGCATCCTCAAGCAAAGAAATATGAGGGTGGGAAGCAGTTCACATCCAAACAGCAGCTCTGGGAGGCTATTCTGACATCCTGCAAAGACATTCAAGTAGACATTTTCCCAAAACGTACAAGTTCCATGGATGCAAGAATTGTAAAACTGCTATCAAATAAGGGGTCCTATGTTAATATGTAACTTGACCTGTTACGATGTTTTTGATTAAATAGCTTTTGATTTCAGTGAAATTGATCTACTAATGCTGCAAATTCAACAAATGACCATTTTCAATTCTCTACAACCTATTAAATCTTTTGAAACTCTGTGTACGTAATTATTTGGAACAGTGGATTTTAAGTTTTTTATTTTTGAAAAACATACTGTTTTCATTGGGAGTTTTGTTCAGTAATATTTGAAATATACTCTATTGGTCGATGACTCGAAAATTATGCCAACTGTCATTTGAATTGACTATTTAGGAAAAACAGAGATAAAATATAATTTGCATAATAATTTGGAACGCGGTGTATATATATTTTTAATTAAGAAGTAGCCAAGAACATATATGACTGCAGGAATGATGACAAAAACACAGTGACAGAGTTACCAAAAATGAGAGATTGAAAAATAAACAACGTGTACTTTTGATTGTAAACCTTACAAATATAACTTAAAGACAAAGCTAGTTATTTATTTCTTCTTTGTCATCTGAATGATGTGTTTGTGCGTCCTGAGACAGGAACACAACTGTTGTTAAACACAGATCTTCATCCTGAAAAACAATATAACATTTGTAATTAGTTAGTTAGTTTAGTTTTGCAATGCTAGTTTTCCATTTAACAAGCGTGTTAATATTAACGACCTGTGAATGTGACGCATAAGGTACAAAAGCACAAATCAAAATTATGAAGGGAACCTTGGTTACCATATTTTGCCTTGATTGTCGTTTGATACTCAATCTTTTCTGATGATGATGCGATTTGTTTTCTGCACAAATGAACAGAACAGCAGTGTAATATTAAACAGATTAAAAGCATCTATCTATTGGGTTTGTGGAAAAAAATAACAAGTATGACTCTGCAAAATGACTGAATAAAACATTAAAAAAAAAAAAAAAGCTATTATGCACAAAAATAGGAAAGATAGTAAGTATGTACCTGCTTTCTGACAAGTGTGATATACCAGAATAAAGGAGAATGAGGTGAGAATGGTAAAGGCTGGAGCGAACATCATCATCCATGACAGACGGGTTACACCAACATCCATGACACGCTGTTCTTGCACGATTAATGGTTTTCCTATAGTGACTAAAACATACATATTGTCACCTTAGGCCCAACAAACAAACAAAAAAGTAATATTGCATAATAACATTGAAACATGGTAATTTTGTAATAGTTTAAATCTTGCATATTTTCGATAAATGACAGACTTTGCTTTCTTTTCAACAGCAAATATTTTCCTATTTAATCTTAATACATACAAATGCAACCCACTGCATTTATTAAAAGAAAAAAAACTTACCTAAGCACCATAAGGAAACTTTTGTTGTGATTAGGTGCTATATAAATAAAACTGAATTGCATTGAATTCAATTACCTAATTTGAGTCTTGTTGTGGAATTTCCATATGTGTAAACAAATCTGCAGTCTTTATTTTCCCCATGCTGTTCTTCTGTTCCACAGTAGTAGAGACCTTCATCAGAATCAGTGATATTTAAAATCACAAGGTCTCGGGAATTAGAGGACTCATTCTTCACAAAGTGCAAATGAGACAAAGGTTCCAAAGGAAACCAAGACGCAGATTTGTACCGTAAAACAACAGTGTTATCATGAGAACACTTCCTGTACCATATTATATGTACTCCAATGGTCATTTTGCAGTCGCAATACAGAGTGATGTTGTCTCCAGGTTGGGCTGTCACTTCCAGTACTGATACAGAAATTCCATTTTGACTGCAGGAAACAACTCCTACAAAAAAATAGAATTATATGTAAATGTGACAAATAACATAAAACACTGAAAGTCTGTTGATTAAAAGATTGTGACTTCAATGCCAAAATTACCTAAAAGAACAAGAAGAATAACATGCAATCCATCCATTAGTGAAGACCATGGGGAGTTGAAAGACAGCCTCTGAAGCACACAGATATGATGTATGTACAGTTTTCCAGGAAATGTAGTTGATTGGCTAGTTACCAGGTGGTTTATATTGAGGCTGCTGTGCACAATGACTGTGGAGACTGTGACTTTATAGTTAACAGTTAACATTAACTTAGTTAGTGGTACAGCCAGTGGCCTACATTGGCTATGCCACATGGTAAATACATATATTTAACTGATTAGTTAAGAGGAGCACTTTTCTACTCTAATTGAGCACTCAAATAGCTTATATAACATGCATCATTCACTAAGTTCTTTCAATCTAACATTCAAATATTCTGTTGTCTGTGGATTTAGGGGTTTTGTCATGTCAACAAACATATTTTAAGTGTAAAAAAGCAACGAGGCAACGCCTTCACTGACTGGGGGATAGGACAGGGAGAAAGAAAGAATGAACGAAAGAGAGGGAGAGAAAGACAAAATAGAGGGGAGAGAGAAAAAAGAAAAAAACAAACAAAAAAACCAACTGGATCACCTGTCGAGAGAAGAAAAAAAAACTTCTTATGTGATGAGAAAGAAATTATTTTACCTCTCATCACTGCTTTCCCTGCTTACCAGAAGACAGATGCTGATGTCATTATAGCCTAAATAAAGAGTCCATTCTTTTTTAAAGTATTTGATGATAGGGCTGCTCGATTATGGCAAAAATGATAGTCACGATTATTTTCACTGAAATTGAGATCACGATTATTTGACGATATTTATTTAAGCCTTTAAGACCTACCATAGAACCAAGTCCGCCAGAGCTTATATTATTTTTTTTACATGCTGTAGTGCCATTTGTGGGAGCATTTCAAGTTGCTATACAACTGTTATAGCCCATATTTTAATAATATGTATGCATTAAGTCCATAGTAACTACATTAATTGCAAACAAGTGCAATAAACTACAAAAAAATTGAAAATCGTTTTTGTTTTGTTTTTTACATATATTTCTACTTGGAGAAATTTAAGAGGTTTATCCCTCAAAACTTTAAATACAAAAAAGTTGCAAAAAAATAGTTTACAACAACAGGAAATTTATTTTGAGTGTCTTCATAGTTTTATTTTGGAGATACACCAATTTTTATATACTGCAGGAAAAACAAAAAAACAATCCTATGATGCAAATTTGCAAAGAAAACAGCATGTGCATCAAAATAAACTATTTCCAGCAGTGCAATTCGAGTTCTAAGCATCCCAGCAACTATTCAGAAAAGTCAAACATGACTTATAAAAACACTAGTATAGGCTTTTAAGGCCTACAAGTAAAAAGCTACATTTTCCGCGAGAATGACGTCACTTCCGGTTTCGGGCAGGAAATGCGATAGTTCGCGCTGACGTCTTTTTCAATGTGGGAAGTGTTAAGAACAGCTGATCGGATCGGCAAAGCGTGTTTCTGTAATATTATGTTTTTGTTCCTGCAAGCGCTTTTTATGCAATTTTTGCAAAGCTATATGTGGAAGGAAACTGTGACCTAGGACAAGCTGATGGCATAAGATGTAAGTACAACTCCTCCGGTTTCATATGCAAAAAAAAATTATTGTGCTAGCTTACGTGGTTCAGGTTCTACAGGGATTTAAAAATAGTTACACAAAACAGAGCGTGCTGCTCTGACCGGCTTTAAAGGGTTAACAATAACAATGTGTTGAATAATGACTTTAAAAAATTAATATAAAATAGTGTGCAAATACTGATAACAGTGCAAATGTTTGCAATATAAAAAATAAATGAAAAATGTAAACATCTATGTTTAGTGAACTTTGCAGTGTTGCTCTGTGGTGCAGCTACGACACTGTAGCAAAGTTTACACACTATGTCTACTTGATCCACGTCTGACTTTGGGAACCCATAATGTTTCCACACCACTGAAGTTTTTTTTTACTTCTCTTTTCAACCAACGGCAGTCACTCTCCTCTCCAAACAACTTCTGCTTAATTGTTGTGACGCGTGTTCGAAATGGAGAGCGGTGCGCTTGATTTACCACACGGAGCAGCGCGAGAGTAAAGCATGAGGGAGGGGCTAATAATCGGCTCAGTCATTTTTAATGATCGTTGAAAGCCCAGATCGTAATCGTGATTAAAATTCGATTAATTGAGCAGCCCTACTTGATGACGTCTTCATCTTTGAGTAGTGATGTGTTAAATCTCCAGTTTTTACTTGGTGTAGCGTTCTTCTTATGTTAAGGACACAGGAGCATGACCGCTGACAGTTATAGGGTGAATCTCAGTGTCTGAGATATCACTCAGCAGTGAGCTACTGACTAGGAGATAATCCAGACGAGAGTAGGAGTGATGGACATGTGAGAAGAAAGTATATTCCTTACTTTTGGGGCGAAGGGAGCGCCATGCATCGCAAAGACCAAAGTCGCTCATATACTGTTTGATTATATTTGTGGACTGCCAATTGCGCTGAGTTCCTGCTGCATTAAGCCTATCCATTTCTTCATTTAGAAGCCACTCATCTGGACTCAGCCTACATGTAGTTTTTTTTTTGTCTCTGTGGGTTTCCTGTTGGCCCGATTTCATGGGTGTAATGATGCATGTTGGTATCTCTTGCAGAAAGCGCTTTTTTTGGTCCGCAAGTGACTTTTGATTGCAGAATAGGTGCAGATCTTTGGTTTCTGTTATTTCTCCATTGCATTTATGTAAATGAGAGTAGGCCACATGACAGCAAAATACCTTTGTAATCCCAGAAAATAAACCTTTATACTTTATAAACTTTGACAACATATTGTGCAGATAATATCTGGCACACATGCATCATGTTGTAATGCTTGTGGTCTGTTACATAGCAGGGGTCTCTACTACAGTTATAGTTTGACCCTGGTAAGTGTTAGCCATTTAATATTGCAGACTGAAAAATTAGAGTAGAATGCATATTGAATGGGATTGTTGTTGTTATATTGTCATGTAATTGTATTTTTTCTTGCCTCCTGCCTTGGCTGTTTCTAAATGAAGTAAAAATAAGGCCGTGACTACAGTGCTTTGTTTCCATGAGTCACTGTTTAGTTTCACAGCAAGAGAAACTTGTTCACATGATAATAACTCTCTCTATATTTTCCATTTGATGTTTTACAATTGGCTTCTGGTCTGACTGTCACTTCCAACACTGATCCACTGATTAAATTATGAATGCAGGACACAACACCTGGAATACAAACAGAATCCCAAAATGTGGAGATATTGAAATGCCTGTTGCTCTTTACAAAACTAATAAGGTAACCAACCAAACTTTGTTAAATGTATCAAAAAGCAACTAGGGGGTTTTGTATCTTGCTCAAGAACGTTTTGACATGCAGGTTGGAGCAGCCAGCGATCGAGCCACCAACCTTTGAACTGACCTACTAGATGACCTAGATGCCCTGCTCTACCTCCTGAGCTACCACCACATCTATAAATGCCATTTTAATTATATCCTGAAACAGTGTTCTAACTTCCAATATTCACAAGTGTAAGGTTGTTCTCTGAATAATTTAATGGATTCTAAATGTGCAATAGACTCTAACTTAATTTACAATAGAACTATGTGTTGTGTAACAAATATTTTGCAGTCACCACAGAGACTGTTACTTCCAGTAAACAGATATGGTGACTCGAAGATGAACATTTTATAATCACAAATACTTTTCTTCATTGTCATAGAATTTATCTGAATGCTATGAAGGATTTGAAGCTATGAAGCATTGAGAATATAATTTTTGTTTTTAAAGTTGAATCTAAAATGTGAGATTTTTAACCCAAAAGAGACAAATAACAATAATTACAAACAAATGTTCAGATAAAACTATGCAACCAACTTATATGTGATGATGAGCTTTAGAAACAGTGAGAAACGTTACCCTGCATTTATTACTGACACAAAACGAAAGGTGTCAATGAGGTTTTCTTGTTTTTTTCTTTTCTCTGTTCTCTCTGTTTCTACTGTCACTGCACATTAGCAAATGTGCTAAAACCCTGTAGCAAAAAACCCCCTGCATTGTGCCAATTAGTCACATGATAAGCATTCATTATATTGGTGTTTTAAATTTTTTTTTTCGTATAATGTCTTTATTCATATTATTTTTTAAAAATGGAATTTCATTGTTAAAAAAAGAGTCATGCAAAGATAATCAGTTTACCAAATGAGTTGCCAAAAAACAACTAGTATGACTTATTTTCAAACGTAACGCATAAGTTAATGTAACATAACCGGACATTCTGTTGTCTGTGGTTTTAGGGTTTTTTCATGTCAACAAACATATTTTAAGTGCAAAAAAGCAATGAGGCAACGCCTTCAACAGGCCACTCATCTTGACCAGCCTAGATGTAGGTTTTTTTTTTTGTCTCTGTGGGTTTCCTGTTGGCCCAATTTCGTGGGTGTAATGATGCATGTTGGTATCTCTTGCAGAAAGCACTTTTTCATCTTTCTCACATTTGCAGCACCAATGGCCCAAGTATTTATGTTTGTTTATTTTTTAAATAATACAGACAGTTTCTGTTTAACATCCCACAGAAGTACACAAGAGTGAGCACTGCTTTATATGTATTTACACATCCTGTATAATATATCATGTAGGGGAAATTATTAATTAAAACACAATGAATTTATATATATTCATATATTTTGGTCCCCAAGTGTCTTTTGATTGCAGGATAGGTATGGGCTCAAAATGTGGTCATAAATATTTTG